AAACACTTGGGATTGATGCAAATGCTTGCTCTGCAGTGCAAACATTGTGACAAGTTGATGAGAAAGGGAAAGCTATAGTGTTGCATCTCTTTTCTGTTTCACTGACAGGTCAATTATTCAGAGAAAATCTGTATAGAATATGAATTAACATATAATGTTCTTTATTGTTTTAAAGTCTGTTAAAAAAAAAAATACAAACCATATATTGTATGTGTTTGGGGATTAAAACCATAGAAAAGCAGAAACTCTACACTGGATTGGCCAGAGATTTTCTTGGCTGTGGACCTCTGAAATCCTTTCTGGCTGAGGCATCAATCACACATTTTGGAGCTCTTCTTTCTGGCTAACCCAGCGAGCCAGGCTGGATTAATGAACACGCTTATCCTGATGCCATACAGTACTGATGGGCGTTCTTGACTTCCCAAAGATGTTTCCCACTCATGTAATCTTCGGAAATAAATCAGGATTCCTAGAAACCCTTCATGACACCCTTTATTGTTTCAATTATCTCTAGAAGCTTACTAGCATACATGAATACATGCATGCATACATTTGTATGTACCACCAGCAGCAAGATGCATAGTAGGACTGCCTCTTTTGTCACATGCTGCCATTATGTCAATAGCAAAAGCTTTTAATAAATGAATTAGCATTTCAGCGGCTATGAAAGTCATCTTTAACCCGTGAGAAAAACGTCCCTTACCTGGATGACAAAGTGGATTTCTAAGTTAGCAGCTAATGATAGCTAGCTTGGTTAGAGCTTTGTCACCCAAGCGTTGAGACTGGTAGTGCTTTTCCGTAGCAACTGGCAGTAGCTAAGGGATCACTATCTGGTCTCTGGGCTTGTGTAAAGAGGCCTTTAGCAATTGATTTCACAGTGGTTTCCAGCAAACACTTTCAGCCAGTTGGGGAGTACTAATTTTTTTCTTTGCAACCAGTGGCTGCTAGATGGTTGTTAACCACTCTCTTTGCCTGTGTGACTGAGGCAAACTGCATACGTAAACAGGCATAGGTCAGATTGGCTTTTAAAAAATTGTGTCTTAATCAACCCGAGTAAAAACTTATTCTGTCAAATTTTAGTTGGTTTGTCCACTGTAAAGAAGACATTCCCACATTCTGGTTATTATATGCAGAATGTCTTTTTAAAATTAATTTTAGTGAAATCTAAATGTGTGTAGGCATGTCTTTAACCCTTTCTCAGTTTACCATGGAGAAATGCATAACTGTACTCTGTCTTGATCACTTAAAAGAAATATGGTAGAAACAGGGGAGCTTTGATTCACTGACCTCTTGACCTCATACTTGGCCTTAATGTGAAGTGATTTCTCTGTATATTGCCACCCTACATCACCTGCCTGCGGGAGTCCGCTGTCTTCTTGTCACAAAGTGCAGTTACAGGACAGAGGAAGTCATTAGATAGGATCCTTGTTGGGGAAGGAAGTCATGTGTGAAATTTTGGCTCAGTTTTAGGGCGCTTCCGATGGCGAGCTGTGATGGGCTCTTAAAATTCTTTAGACTTACAAATCAGCTCAGTGTGTCAGACTTGCATGTGTGTTTATAAGTGTAAGTTAGTGTTATTATGTGTTTACAATTCTGATCGTGTCATTTGAGAGCTGCCGCCTTTAGCCTGCTTGCAGTAAGAGAACCTGAAACCCTAACGCTTTCAAGTTCACACACAAACACATACACCCACACACACAGACACACACATGCACAATTTGTTGCTGCCCTGTTTACACTTGGAGTCTTCTAGTGTGCCTGCTGAAGTGCACCTCGGAAAGCATTTGACAGATTTAGCTTAGCACTTTAAATATAGAAAGGGGTACACCAATGAAAACCTAGACATCATGTCCGAAAGCTGTTCCTCGGACATGATGCTGGCATATTCCAGTTGATAAGAAATGTGACTCACCGATGTCATTTAATCACATGTGAATCACTGAATGTTTACATAAACGGCCCCCCGAAATAATTTTGAGGTATTACAAATGCAGGAGCTATACTTAGTAATCTTTGTGCTGCTGCTGAGGTTTCTTATTAAATTTCTTTTTGGAAGTGGAGGAAATGCCCCTTCTGCTATTACTGCTGCTGTAGTTTGTCATTGCATTTTCCTTGATTTGAAGTGGCGGATGCTCAGTTGGTTGCCCTTGGTAGATTATTGTTTTGAGGTCAACAGTTAGCCCTTATAGATGAGAGACACTGAGAGTGAGGAAAAGTGTAGTGTATGGGGTGTGGGGAGGTGTGGGCTGCAAAACACAGTTGAATAACTGGGTCATTTTAAGATGATGACGTTTCTCATCTCTTCAGCTCAGAGCTGGGTATTCACTGTTAACTGCTTTGTTTTCATTGTCTGTGTATTTTCTTGTGTTTTCTGTATTGCTTTAATTCTTTAATGCATTTTACTGAAAAACTGAGATATTATAAGATTAATGACTTAACTCAATTTTCATTCTTGCAGAGCTTCTTATTTTTTTTTTGTAATTTTGGCTATATCTAGAGCAAAATAGTTGACAAAATAGGGTGTTTTATTAAAGCATGATGATGTATTGGAAATTATTAGTGATTTGCCATTATATCAATATCAGCATTATAAGGGCCGATAAATGAAAATTTATGTGATAAGTGATGAACAGAATGGAGAAACACTCTTTGACCATGTTATGAGTACTTGTGTTACATAGTTTTTCCCCCAAAGGGCCCTCTCTAAGCAGCACAACGCACAAACTCTGTAAGTGCTGACAACATATGTGCGTTTAAAATGTCACAAACACAACCAGCTAATCTGCACAGAGTTGGGCAGAGTATCATATTGTATAGTATATTATCTTAGTGAGAACTCATGAATAATTACACATAACAAATGGTAGGAGAATCTAATTGTGTTTTTTGTGGCTGATATATAATACCAATTATTGGTATCAGAATTGGTCTTAAAAATCCAATATTTGTCAAGGTGTTTATGTTACAGGGTATGGCTACTGTAACTGAGAAGTTGGTTATGGGGCCTTTGGTGCCTAGCCAAAGTGCCAGAATCAATGCTTCATAATGGTAGTCCATCTTGATGGGCACATCAGTATTTTTACATGCAGTCTCTGCTATGTTTGAAATGTTGATTTTTCCACCATCACGGCCATCAAACTTCCAAAGCGACTGACACTAACTTTCATTCTAGTCACATTTCCTGAGACTTACAGATCCACTCGTGGTTTGTGGAGAACTAACATTGCACTCCCATAATATTGTCAGATTTAGAATGTACAGTAGATTAGATTCTCCTGTATTCATTGTATTTCTGTCATTCTCTAAAACTTACGGGTGGATGTGGTATTAGACCAGTAGCCATGCTACTATTATGAAGTGTTGGCATACCAGACCACAGATGATTAGGTGTCTGCTAATGCAACATAAACACCTTCTCTACTATCACCTCCTGAAAGTCTGAACATTGCTTAAGAATCAGTTCTCACAAGTAGTGAAAAAAGACTAGACTATATAGACTATTTATTGTTACAGAAATTACAGAGCATCATTACAGAAATCAATATGTCATTTTAATGCATTTTCTTTTACATAAGCAGTAGTACTCCGACAAACAGGTTAAAGTATAACATTGATTAGATTCTCTTAAGAAAATAAAAAAAAAAACATGTAAGCTTACTCAGTTTGGCTTTGATGCTCAACAAGCATCTGCCAAAGACTATCTATGACCATCTTTTGGGGAAAAACACACAACAAGGCAGCATTAGAATGAGATAATGCCCCATAATAGACTACTACCTTCTATTTAGAGTAGTGGAGTGCCTTTCATTAAAAAAAACCCCAAAATTGCTGACATTATGGTAGCATTTCAGCTTGAGCTTTCTCTTTGTGTCTTTTATGCGGAACCTCATTGATGTCTTTGGCTTGTTTAGTTATTCCTTCCCTTGACCTCTCTGTGTTTCAGAATTGCCATCATCCCCTGTTCAAGCAGGGAACTATTAAAAATGCAATGAGGAGTGGGTGGGTGGGAGGTGTTTCCCTCAGCCACAATGTGCTGGATCAATACAAAGGACCCATCATATGAAAGTTATCAAGCTCCCATCATCAATAATAAATGGGCCAATCAGCAGGGATATTGAGCTTCTATTGTGAGATGGCTGAATGGGAGAAGGGATCATCAGAGAGGAACTATTATATGACGCTACATTGGTCAGCTGTTGCGACGATGATTGTGATGATCACAGAGGATGATGATGATTTGAAACCTGATGTTGCTGCAGGGGGTTATTGTGGCACTTTTTAACTGCTGGTCTGGAACAAGAAGAGACATGCATGTGCTTACAATAAGGTGTTTTCAAGCAGCTTCTGAATTTCTTTTATACTACATTTGAAGAGACGGGAAGAAAATGATACTATTTTTGTGTTTATAAGATCCGTATCCACTTAACTCATTTATAGCAATGTTTTGAGACTCAAATCTTTGCAAGATATAAAAAAACATGAATAACTGGTGGGTTCTGGTATTGATGTTATTAATGGAAGTGATAGATAGTCGCAGTAACGTTACAGACCCCAGTCTAGCATAATACATTGTTTCAGTGCAGTAGCTTGGGAGCACATGTCAAAACTTGATAGTTGTGGTCCTCTCTAAGTGCTTCCTCTTAACCCCCTAAAACACACACTGTTGTTGCTCTTCTCATCAGCTTGCCTATGTGCACCCTTCCTTTGCTCCCTGTAATTGTGCCGCCTCCTTTTGTACACTGCCTGTGTTCAATATGCGGTATTTGCTGACATGAGAGTTGGCATTCATTATTCAGTGTGTGCTATTTGAAAATGTCTACCCATTCTGCAACCTGCAGGAGGCAAGCCACTATTTAATTACAGATGCTGTAACTAGTGTTGCAAATTGTGTCCAACCCAGATGAGTGCAGTGTTTTGTTTACTGTAAATTGTATTAATGAGCATAGTGGAAGTGCATAAAAGTAATTTCTCTTTCCCTTGTCTTTTTTCTCTCTCCTTAGGTGGTGTTAGTCTTTGCACTCAGCATCGGGGCCCTTGGAATATACTTTATAGACTCCTCCGAGTAAGTGTCAGTCTCATGACATTAGGGTGTAATTTCACTCATGCTCCACCAGCTTTACCGATGACAACTTTAGATTAAATGAAATGAGTACAGTTTTTTGTTACATGCATTTATTTTGGCCTGCGCCCTGTATCTGAATGATGGGTGCACATGTGTGCTTACTCATCTTCACAGAGTGCAATCTCTGAAATGCAAACGCACATATCAACACCCCCACAAGCACTCAAGAAGCAGCGATGCTCACGCGTACTGTATGGACACACACGCACATACACACATCTCCATCGGAGGATTTGTCAATGGGAGGCCTGTCAGTTTCCATGGTAACAGAGATAGGCAGATACTGTATGTGTTGGGGAGCTTGTTCTGTGTGCGAGTACGGGTGTGTGGGTATTGTCAGTTTATGTGTATCCCTGGCTGGCAGTCACCCAGAGACAGATTGCAGGCCTGGCATCTCTCCGACATCCATTGCAGCTACTTTCACACCATTCAGAGTCTAACTGTACCTTTTGAAGGGATAGTTTTCTGGTTCTCTCTAGTAAAAGATATTGTGTTATTAGCTCTTGCAGCACATCCCATAGCCAGACTACACTCAAGATATAAAGTTATTGGCTAAAAAAAATACAGCAGCTCAAATGAAGAGCCAGAAAAAATTTAATCAAACTAATTATCTTTGTCAGGAGGTGTGATAAAGGGTTCCAGTGTGTATATTATTACTGCTCAACAAAACCTGTAATATGCTGTATGTTTATATGCTGTATCAGAAGTGTTATTTTGAGGGGCGGGGAACATATTTTTGTATCTTCCTTGTTTCCATATGCATCCTTGTAACCATGTAATTGTTTGTTAGAGGTTGATGCTGAAAATCAAGATCAGGAATGCATGACAGTGCCCTAAAAAAACACACAGTGACTTTGGCAGCACTTACTTTTATGCATTAGTGATTAACCAAAATAAATCTGCAGTGGCTGCGGGTAAGGGAATGTTGACTGTATTGTTAATGCTAAATTACTGATTATACAGGGAAGAAACCGGGTGCAACTATTTCACCATATTTATTCCTTGCAGTAATGCCTTGCTTCTGTAGTTTATTTTTGCTTTATTACTGGTGTTAACTGTGAAATTGTGTCTTGAGGGAACCGAGTCTGAAACAGGAATAGAGATGCAAATTTCTCAAAAGAAGTAAATCTGAAATGCAATCCAACTTATTCAGTCTTATCTCTTAGCATCAGATGAAAATTATTCATGGGATGAATCCACTCAGTCCTTTGCACCTCAGGATAAAAACCTTTACTTCTTCCTTCACATCTTTTCATATATATTCTGTGTTCCCCCCACCCCAACCCCAGGATTCTTTCTAATCAACCTTTTTGGAATTATTATTATGATTTATTTATTTTGACAAAAAGGGGGGATTAAAGATACAGTTTTACAAGTAAAAATCCTTGATGGATGTTTAAAAACTAAAATAAAAAATAACAATCACAGGCACCTGGTTGGCGTTCATTACATGATGCTTGAAAGTGAAATGTGGTCTCAAAAATCCTTTGGCAGCTGAGCCATGCTGTTACATAACACTCATGCAAAAATGATCATATTTGGAGACAATATGTGTAGCATATTGCATCACACATCCAGATAACTGATATAACTGTGTAGTCTGCACACACATTGGTGTACATTCATTATGTACACCAGTTTCAACCCTTAATGTAAATTAAGGGATAAACTAATCAGGCACTAATCGGGTTAAACTAATCAGGTTAAACTAAACGTGGAAGTAACTCGTTGCATGATCTGTTGAAGTTAAAACTTAGCATAAGGATTGGTAATTTAAGTAAGTTTGAACAAGTTGTTGGTAGCATACGGGCTGCTTATCTCCTGGGATTTTCCCACACAACCATCTCTAGGGTTTGCAGAGAATTTTCCAAAAGGAGAAAATATCCACCGAGTGGCAGTTATCTGGGTGAAAATGTTGTCTGGACCTATTTCTGCTGTGACATTCACATGTAGGATCTTAAAACAAAATGACAGCATGTGTCCATCCTGCCTGTATCAGTTCCTTGGCACACTTTGAACTCCTGAGTACCAATTGAGTAATGTTTGAAACCACAGCCTGCCTATTGTTGCTGTCCATATTTATTTCTTTATGACCACAGTGTTACCCAAGTTCTAGCGGAATAACATGCCAAGCTCAACCAATCTTAAAACTGGTTTCATGAACGTCACAGTGAGTTCACTGTACTCAAATAGCCTAAACTGTCACCAGATCTCAAACCAACAGAGCGCCTTTAGGGTGTAGCGGAACAGGAAATGTGCAGCCAACAAATCTGCAGCAACTGTGTGATGATATGATGTCAAACCAAAATCTCTAAGAAATATTTCCAGGATCATGTTGAATCTGTGCCACAGAGAATTAGGGCAGTTCTGAAGGCTAATGGGGGTCCAATCCCCTATTAGTAAATTATAAATAATAAAGTGACTGGTAAGTGTAAGGTTTGCATACTACACTCAATTATACTTATCACATAGTAATAAAGTATAGGTTATACTCGGTGTGCTTAATGCCTGAACACCAAACTTATAGGTTTAAAAAAGAATGTATAGCTGTAGCTTTCTTTGGACTATTTCGCCTTTGAATGTGATAATGCAAACTTTAAGTGTATTTCTTTGTGACTCAGCTTCTGAGAGGCACTGACCTGATGTCTCTATGCTCGCACTAACCTGAGGCTTTCTCCACCCTTACTGTCGTCATTAGCCCAAGCTTGTCATTTATCACGTGTGTACTTCCACTCAGGGAGGGGAGCTACTAATCAACCCCAAGGAGCTCCACTTGACGCTTTAGCATTTCACATCTTAAATAGGACCAGCCATGTGTTATGGCCATACTTTCACTACAGCAGCTGAAGCCTCTTGCGTGCTCTGTGCCATTTGTTACATGTCAGCTGACCACATCCTAATTCTTTGTCAACTGTCTTCTAAGAAAGACATCTTTGTCTCAGCACCAATCTGCTCTAATATCTAATTGCAAACAATATCTGAAAGTTGCAGCTGCTGACCTCAAAATAATCCAAGGCGTGTATCGTGCTGGCCATTGTGCAAATTACACGTCGCATCTATGCTACCTGTCACTTGCACCTGTCGCAAACTTTACATTTTACTCTCCGTTTTTGGCTATGATTAGCCCACGCAGTCCAACAAGCTTCTACACAAGGGCACAGTTGTGGACACACATTCTTTCTCTCATTATCACCCTTTGTTTGATGTTACACACGCATGCATGTCGGATATAAAAAAAATAAATTCATACATTGCAATGGTGAGACTCGCATTCTTCTCCTCCAAATGCTCGCGTTTAAAAAAGCTCCCCAGATATGACCTTCTCTCCCACCAGCATCCCTGCCACTAAATGCTAATGACTGAGAAATCAATGAGCGCAGATTTATAGGTCACTCTTTTAATGGCAGCAATTACTCCAGACTCATGGACTATTCAGGCTCAGTGCCTTGCTTTCCCAATCTGCTATTTTGGCCATGGGATGAACTGAACATCCTTCTGAAATTGTCTGTGAAAAAGGCAACAGTAATGGGAAGGATTATGGTTCGTTCCCTGTGGTGATGGCAAAAAGAGACATGCGGTGGAGTAAGTGCATGTGGGTTGGACCTCGTGAGGCTGGAGCTGCACGATGGGCTTTTATATCTACTTGAGTGATGTAGGGAAACCCCGTGAGGCCACATAAGGGTAAAACACTGAAGAAAATGTAGCGTTCTGGAGGCC